TAAGTCCCACTTGAGGGTCCATCTTAGGACTGCAGCGATATCCCTGACCAGATCATCTCGCCTCTCTGGTCCTATGGCTTTTGCAGCGTCCGCGAAGAACAAGCTAGGTCATTTATAAGCAGTAGGAATAAGATGGGTCCCTGTACCAATCCCTGAGGTACTTGACTAGTGATGTTCCGCAGGCTGGAATAATAATTAAAAAATGTCTTCTTACTTCCTTTTTCTACTTATTGAATATACAAATGTACACTCAACTTTCAGGAAGNGAAGGGGTCTGCGGCCATACAAAGGCTGTTTGGGGAAATACAGAAATAGAGAAAACGGGCGGCGGTGAAGCGGTTCGAACCCAGGACTCCCGGGTTACAAACCGTTTGGCCACCATCACCCAGCTGGAACCAAAACAACCTACTCTTATGCAGAAAGATCGCTTACTTAAGAAGTCAGATATCCAGCTATATAGCTGCTCCTCTATGCCGACGGCTTCCAACTTGATCAACAGTAGGCGATGATTCACAGAGTCCAACGCTTCATTGAAGTCATGGTAGCATACCTCTACGCTTTTGCCTTCGTCCAACCTGCGAGTTACTTTTTCTAAGAAGAAAAAGAGATTGATGAGACACAACCTGTTTTTCAGGAACCCATACTGATGATCCTTTCCAGAACCTTTCAAAGAACGTTAGTTAGGCTTACCGGTTGCTTACTTCTGACCTGCCCCCGCCTTTTATGTATGGCTTCCACAGAGGCTGTGGAAAGATGAATTTGTCCGACTCTGCACTCAATCGTACCGCCAAGGTCGGCTTGATAAGGAGTGGCTATGTGCTCAGGTTGACAGCCCCACTCGCTCTGTTGTTTTCTGGATCGTTGTCTAAAACTAAACGCGAATGGGAAAACTATTTGGTTAGGCGGAACACCGCCCTTTTTCAAAAGGGTTTTCAACTGCGCTACGTGTTGCGAAGACTCTCTTGCGTCATCAAAAGTGCCCAGGAAGTCATCGACTTACGCCGTTATTTCGAACACTAGCTGACATCGAAGCTGGGAAGTTGTTTCCATGCTGCGAAGCTGTCCGTCGTAGGGCACAATTTGCGAAGAAAGGCGAGTAAACCACTCCGAATGGATGAACAGTCAGGTGGTAGTCTAGTTCCAGGCTCGGTACGTCTCCTCCAGACCACCATAAGAGTCGCACGGCGTATCTCAACTTGGAGGAACATCTCTTTTATGACGGCTACTACTGCAGCTGCTCCTAGGTGGAATATGTTGAGTACGTCGATCAAGGGATTGCTCCAAGGTGGTCCCTGCAACAGACAGTCATTAAGGGAGAGGCCGCCGGATCGCGTCGCACAATCAAACACCACGCATATCTTTCCTGGCTTTGTAGAGTTCGTTACCGGGTTTTGTGGTGTCACCGGGTGTGGTCGTTCCCCGCGTGGTTGTGACACGTCCACTCGTTCCATATATCGCGGCTGCTCGTTCCGCTGCATCACTGCGGCGTACTGACGACGTAGCCTTTTAAGGTATTCCAACCTTTATGGGCTATCCCGTGGTTTTTCGGCAATCGGACATATCCTCCATGGTCGGGCTGACAGCGAGTCCCCGTTTCGACTGTAGCTAATGCCTGGTTATCTTTTACAGAAAGGCCCCATTTTCGATCGCTCAAGTGGTCCAACTCGTTGTCGTATATTCGTTATTGGATTCGTTCGATCATATCGTCACCAGTGGTGGTGATGAAGTTAATTGACAGTGGTTTGCGGTTGGCCCAATGAGGCGCTCTAAATAACGTCCACCCGAAAACGGAGCGAGTGGCGTAGGGTTCTTTTCTGCTGTCCAGCATTCACTGTGCTTCTGGCACGTCACATCCTATCAGCAAATCGACTTTGTGAGAGTTGGCTTCTTCGAAACACAAGTCTCGCGGTTGCGGCCAGTGTGTTCCTGGTTCCCCAATCGATTCGGTTGCCAGCTTCAGCAAGTCGGCTATAGTGGAAGCCTCCGTGACCTCTACGCGTTCCCCACTATCTAGCGACACCAGCTTCACGCTCGTTTGATCGGCGGAAATAGCCTTGGTACCGTTCACGGTTCTAATCGTCGTGGAAGACGGTCGGGTTGCGATACCGTTCTTGACGGCGAAACGCTTTGTGATTAGAATGGTATCGGATCCATTGTCTATAAATGCCACCGCCTTCATTACCCATCTAGGAGTAAGTATGCCGACTGGTGTTACCTCGAGACGAACCCACCTGATGATTGCGATAGTAGACATACACTTGGTTTTGGGGGTGCCGGTAACTGCGTTTCTCGTATAGAATGCAGGAGGGTAGGATGGCTTCATTACACCCCTTTTCACCGCATCTACGGCGGTTCCTACAAGTAGCCGCGCGATGTGAGTCGTGCAAACAGATAAAGCTTGCGCCACGCCTGTTGGCTGATTCCCAACGGTCAAGAACATTCAGTTTCACAATTTTTTCACATGCGGGCAATTCGCGACTTGAACGACACATAGGGCAACTGGATGCGCCATGTTCCCTAAGGGTTACATAGATATTTGTGTTTCTACAGCTTCCTGGGATTTCATGCGGTTGATTCTCAGATGTTTGGTGTACAATTTTTAGAGCACTGTTTTCTGTAGCACTGTAGTTGTTCCTCAACCGACGGTTTCGCAACGTCAGTTTTCTCTTCTTACCTCTTGTTTTTCTCTAAGTTTCTTGATAGATCCATTCAAGCTGGACGTAATCATCCAATCACGTGCCAGAAGTACTTTCACCCTACGCTGGTGACTAACAGCAGGATACGTTCAGTTTCTAACCGGTCCTGTATAATTGAGGACTATCAAGGCATGGTACATAACCACGGAATCCCTATCAGAACCATTAAGGTTCAGAAATCAAGTAGCGACT